GCTAGTGAGTGTCTGAACAGGGACACGTCAGGCTCTAAAACCCATGCACTGATCGGTTACAGGATGCTGCTTCCTGTTGGAGGAAGAAGTTGCTAAGGGAAAATGCATAGAAAATTAAGCCTTCTTAAATTATTTTGGCTTTTCATTTGAAGTACCCTGTGAGCTGCAAAGTTTTAGGTTGGAGCCAATAGTTAGCACTATTTAAATCACTGACAGCAAAATTCTAGGACATCCATCATCTCTGTGAACCTGGTTAACTTTTTCTTTTAAATAATGGTTCATGCTCAGAAATCAGTCTCAGAACTTAAAAATTTCCAGGAATATTGATTATAAAATTAGAAAATATTCTTTTAATTACTTTTAGTAGATTTGCTTGATTTCTTTAACTTGTCATAATTAATTTAAGAAGACAAGCATAGAGCCTTTTGAGAGCTAATTACTCTTAGAATTCCAACTACCGAAGAAAGAGGTTCTTGGTGGTGTGGACACTTCTGTCTGCCCGAGTCCTGATCTGACCCCTAAAAGCAGGTGACCTTGGCCTTCGTAGTAGCCTTTTATGACAAGATTTGGGGTCGATGTTGAGAAGATAATTGGACAGGAGATTCAAAGAACAAATTGTACTCATCTACAAGGCCCAGAAATTACCTTGTGAGTCCTGTAATTTTTCAGGAAAACTTTCATTGCATGATAGTTTTTCAATTGGTTTAATTATGCTTTCTTCTAAAGAGAAGGCAGATGGAAGGAAAGAATGAACAATAAGAAGGATGTTATAGGAAAAGCAGAGAAAAAATGGATTCCATGATTAATGAAAAGATGCAGAAAGAAACCTTAAAATGTTTCTCCGAGAAAATGTTCTCGGTGCTGTCTCAGCTTTCATTTGATGTCAGTCGTATATTTCCCCGAGACTCAAAGCTGTGCAGCTGTCATTTCACCTGATTGTATTTAACCACTTGGTTCAGTGAATATTACTTTTAAATAACTGAGAAAAAATTAGCAAATTGCAGTGCCACAGCACTGTTAAATGGATACAATACCCGGAGCGTTTGATGTCACATCAGAACACCTCAGGAGACTCCTCAGTTGCTACACAGTGACCCTCAAACTCTTCTGATCCAATACCACCTACATCTTTTTTAAGAAAGAACTCTCTACCTCTTCAGGCACTTTAAGCTGATATCTAAAATGTTTCCTCGTAAGTTTTACAGTTCCAGAGGATTTAACTTCTGGCATACTGTAATTAGAGACATTTAAAAATAAAACTATTACATCTCTCTTTTAAATATAATCAGTGGAATCTAAATACCATAGTGATTTTATGCTCACCAGTACTGACTTAAGAAATACATGACCACGTTGGACTTCCCTGGTGGTCCAGTGGTTAAGACTCTGCCCTCCTACTGCAGGGGGCACCGTTCGATTCCCCGTCCGGGAACTAAGATCGCACATGCCACGTGGTAAGGCCAAAAAACAAAAAGAAATACATGACCACAGTCCTTTTTAACAGGTAGAAATTTCACATGAATCCCATTTCTCTCCAAAATTTTATTTTCATTCATATGTCTGCTCCCAAATTTTATCTGAATATAATTTTAAAGTCTTTAAATTAACCAGTCAAAAAATGTGTATAGATTGAAACCTTTAAAAAAATTCCTTGTAACCAACCATAAGTATATTAAAATACTTTTCTCTAGATTAAGTTAATTATTGTTAGAATGATTCGTTGTATATAATTTATCAAAGAAGATGAATATTATAGAATTTGATTATTAAAAGTGAAAAGTCAGATTTTTTTGGAAATTCTTCTCCTAATGAGAAAGATGGGACCTTTTTCAAGTGGTTCATGTATCCATTAATAAATATTACTCATTGCTAAAATCAGACAGGATTCAGCTTCATTTTTTTTTTTTTTTTTAAAGATGGGAAGCAAGGAGAAATCTTGTAAATGCATAGTAGGGAATGAAAGGTGTTTTGTTACAGCTCTGTTACTATAGTCTTTGAACACTATTCAGAGTTACAGATCAAATATCACATAGAGATCTCATAAAAAATGATTTTCAAAAATATTTTCATTTTATATTGGAGTACAGTTGATTTACAGTGTTGTGTTATTTTCACCAATGATTTTTAATTATCTATTAGCTATAACTCAATTAGGTTCTCCTTCAGTTTTTTAAAAGCTAAGAACTGGAAACCACTTGACTTAAAAAGGATTTATTTGTTCCCCAATCATCAGAGTTACTCACTTTCTCAACACTGACACCAGTATATCAAACTAGTCCTTTGACTGGCACCCCACCTATTTTTACACTTTGGGGAAAAAGGAAACATTTAAAAGTAAAAATCCGCAGAAGGAAAACAGTGTAAGTTCATACTTTAAATGTAGTCTTGCCTTACCTGCATTACTCCTTTTGAAAGCAAGTTCTGCCCCCGTGGGTCCCAACGACTTAGGAAATAGCTGGCTATTCCAGTTGTATGGGTTTGTATCCTTCCCACTGGCTGTCAAGGACACGTTCTTGGGGTTTACACCTTAGAAGAACAGAACAGTCATTTCAAAGGTTAGAGTGCGATCATACATTTGAAGGAAAAATATACATTCAAACTAGACTAGAAAGAACGCGAGGGAATGGAAATAAATTTTGGCTACAGTGTAGCAAATACTTGCTTTTTGATGGACCCTCACATGATCCTCAGCCCTAAATACAATAACCTGGAATCCTCACGGTGTCTTTTAGAAACGTTATTTTCTGTAATACAAGTAATGATAAACATTGGACATTTCTTGCTAAATGTCTTAAAAAATTGAGGTGGCACAAAAATTTTCTTCCAAAAGTTATTTCCATGTCATACACTTATTTTGAGTGTTTGCTCTGTGCCAGACCCTTGAGGAACACTTGGGCTGGGGAAAACAGACATGCGGCCAAGAACCCAGGGGAACTGAGAAATTCGGAAGTACATGTAAAGATCCATCTGTGAAGCTTATTTGCATATCGGATATAGTAAAATATAAACAGCTAGTTGTTTATGATTTTCTGAAATCTGTGAAATGTGGACTCGGCCTTGGACTTTCGTCCCAGTGGTCAAAGGGTGTTGTTTTAACCTAGTTTTAAGAGATTTGAGAACTTCCTGAACTTGCCTTCTTTTGACTGATAATTAAATTGGGTTCAGCTTAGCAGACGCCAGAGACATCACACTGTCTAATAAGCCTCTGGGTCATACATGTAGAGTTCTCTTTAGTGTAGAGAACATCCTTACCGAGGACTGCTATTAATGTAGAGAGAGGGTCAGTCCCTGTTTCAAGGGAGCTTTGACTTTTCCCAAAGTGAACTCCTTGACAAGGTTTCACATTTATGAGACATATAATAATATTCCTTGTTTTAAAGCCAGAAACAAGCCTGGTTGTTCCGAACCAAGCCGCAAGGCTACCTGTCATCAGTTCTGTAAGGAAACACTCCATCAGGTAGATCATTTCTCTTTATCATAGGATATTGCTCTTTATGGATTTTGGTTTCTAATAAAATACCTACAAATAGAACTATAATAGGCAATTCCCTGACAATAAAGAAGATGCACTAGGTAGCAATTACTCAGGTTAAAAACATCTTAACACACACACACACACACACACACACACACACACACAAGATATTTACCCCCAAAGAAGGTGCAAGGTCAGGGGAGAAAACTACAAATCTCTTTAGGTGAATATTTTTTATAAATACAGTTCAACAAAGAATGGGCCCTGAATGCTTAAATTATTTTAATACGATTAGCCTTGCGATATCCCTAGTCTCTTTTGTTTTTCAGTAAATACATACTACACTATTGAAAATAATTGCTTTAACTCTTTGTCTGTTAAAAGATTTCAGTTTTCTTGAAAATAGACAATATCTGGAATTTTAAAACATGTATTAGTTTACAAGCTTTTCTGGGGTACCTTCTATAACCAAACACTGTTAAAGAGAAGCAAAATTAATATACTATCATCCCGTCCCCTCAAAGGATATTAAAAAGTCAGCAAATATTTACTGAGCACCTACCACGTGCCAGGCAGTGTGCGTGGCACTGGAGAAAAAGTGGTGAACAAAGTAGACCAGTTTCTGCCCTTGTGGCTCTTATAATCTACTCTAGTGAGAAGGGAGACATGAACAGTTATAGATAATTAGGTGAGTAATTAGCAGTGTGCAAATTATGCAGAAGAATCTGGTGCTGAGGCTGCAAAAAACAGAAGCCACAAAGCCAGTCTTCTAAAAAGGTAATTTTAAGCTGAAATGTGAGTCATGATAAGGACTTGGTAGGAGTTGGGGAGGTGTGTTCCTGGGAGAGGCGTCAGTGTGGGCAGTGGACCTGGGAAGGAGAAGAACTCGGAGTCCTCGGCAAGGATGGAGCAGGGACAGGGCGTGGCCCAGAGTGAGGCTGGAGAGGGGAGCAGGCAGCGGATCACAGGGCAGTTCGTGGGTCTCGCTAAGAAACTTAAAACGCAGTAGGAGAGGCACATACACAAATGACACAGGACGTTGGATACACTGGGTGGAAGGAAGGACCGTAAGTGATAATGGGACTCGAGAAGGATCCACAGAACAGGGTTTCAAAAGTGCTGGGGCCCGGAGTGAGAGCAGAAGGCACCACCGAGATCGTTAGCGCCTCCACTGTATACTCTATTTGCAACAACTACCTTGTGATAATTAAGTACCCAAGGCTTACGGGGCGAGCTGATGCATGACTGCAGTCCCATCGTTAAGTAACAGAAAACAGAATCTCAGAGTCGTGCTCCAGTACACAGCCGGTCAGTAGCAGGTCAATAACTATGACTCTTGCGTCCCTCTCCCTGAAGGCCAGTGTCACAGATCTGCCAATCCTTGTAGTGTAATGTCAGGCTGCCCTGAAATTATATGGTACATTTCTAGAGCTCCCATGATCCTAGAAGTTGATGCTTAATAAGACCGTAATACTTGGCTTTATGGTAAAAAAAAAAAAAAAAAAAAAGAAAAGGAAGGCCCCCAAAGATAATACTCTTTGTTATTCCTGAGGATATTCAGTGAATTAACTACAGACCATAAATAAATGTCAAGGATCACTTCTTTGCATTTCTGTCCTCTGCACTTGCTGGATCACGATAGGTGCTCAGTAAATGTTTGTCCAAGTGACTGAGCTGAGCTCAGTTCTCGTTTCAGATCTCACCCAGCTCTAGAGGGGCCACATCTTTGAGACCAAACACGCCAAAATAGGGTACAGTCAGGCTCAGGTTTAGATTTCAAACAGTTCGTTCTAATTTTGAGTCTGTTTCTTAGGCTTCAATTACAGCCATGCTTCTGACCCAGAGTGATTAGTAGAATTTGTTAGATCTTTCTGGTGAAAAAGGAAGTGATCAGATGGGTCTCAGGTGCCCTGAAATGCGTTCCTGAAAACTGCATGAGGGGAGCAGAGCTGGGAAAACAGGTGTCTGCTAAAAATTTTACAATACCCTCTCCCACCACCAGAGGGCGCACTTCTACAGCGAAGATGAAGCACTGATTTTATTTTAGTGAAATGAATTCAATTTTCTTTCTTTTTTAAACAGGGAAAAGTGTCCCCCATGAATCTGTGTTCTGGAAGCTTTATTTACACCCCCACTTTTGCAGTCAGATCAGAACTTCCTCATGGTTTCAGCACCGAAACTTACTAACCAACTGGTGTCTTTGCACCTTTCAAAAGTGCACCCTCTCTTACGGTCTTAATTCCCACCCCTCTCACCGTCCTAGGGAACAAGTCATCACCCTCTCTATCCAGACGTGTGCAGTGACCTCTAGACCAGTCTCCTTGGGCCCCTCGCCCAGTCCCCTACCCTTTTTGAGCCGCTAGTGTGGCCTACCTAGCAGCCAGAATGATCTTTTAAAAACACAAATCAGATCATTTAGGAAACAGTATAAAATTCTACTTCTTATAAGAACTGGTAATGGGAGTGCAGAATTGTTTGCATACAGTTTACAGAAGGCATAGCTTTGGTGGGGGAGGGTGGTATTTTCTGAAGCATCCTCGCCATCTTGATTGGTGGCTGCCAGGCATTTCCTGAGCAGACTTCACAGAGGCAGGAGGTCCAGAAACGTCCCGGCGACAGGCTGAGCCCGCAAAGAGTGCTATGATTGTATTTCACTGGTGCCCTTTCTCCAGAGATTCAAAGACCCTGGAACGTGACCTATTAACTATTCTAGTTACCAGGAAACATTTTATTTTCTCTGCTTACCTGGAAGGTATCTTGATTGTTTCAAATAGTACTGTTTAGCTGTTGAAGCAGTTGACAATTCCGAATCAGATTTTAGGGAAATAGCAGGGGGTAAGTTCTTGTTTTCCTCTGTTGAGTGGTTGGGGCCTGCAGGTACTGACTCTGGAAGCCTTGAAAGTCAACATAAAGTAGCATCACCGGGTGAAGAACAGGAAGATGACGGCTGCTATGCTCTCGCCCACCCTCCGCCCATCTTTCCAAGCCAGTCAGTGGTTTCCATCAGAGACCTTCTGCTGATAGCATTAAATGACAGCCCCTCTCCCCGAGTAGATATCGGGCAGTGCATAGAATCCTTCCTAATACTGGACAGTATGAGGCAGAAAGCTTTGTAACTAAGCAGCAAGTTGCCTGTGTGCAGTATGTTTCCATTTTTCCTGCGACTGCCGCAGCTGTGGATTTGTGATGTGGGAAGATGGCATGTTGGAAGGGAAGAGAATCACAGCCATCTCCAGCTGGCTACTCCAGCAATGTGTAACCACTAAGGTTGTTAGAACACGGTTTAGGCTGGACTAAGAGAACTGAAGTGGGGAAGTGTTAGGAAAGTCCCCAAACAGAATTTCCAAAGAGCCTGATGACATACAGAGACATCATGCATTTGTTGAGATGTGCCTGTTCCCCAGAAGGCAGAATCGACTTGGGCGGTGGCGAGCGCCTGGCTGGGTGCCTCTGTCCCCCAGTGCCCGGCCTCCTACGGCCCCAGTTCTGTGTAGGAACGGAGGCCTTCCGGCATCCAGGCTTAGCTCTGTCTAGTTCCTGAGGCCATCTGTCCGAGCGGCAGCCTTCGCTACCAGAGGATGGGGCTGTGGTTGGTTTTGCTGCCTGTCGCTCTGTGTGCAGCCCGGCACCACGACCTTCTCTCCCACCTGTGACCGGGCCTCTTCCTGTGCTGAGGCCTGGCCCCCCGGCCAGCTCTCGTCACCTGTCTGACCCCAGGCCTCCACGGTTCCCCCAGGAAAGTCCTGCTTACCACTTCGACCCCCTCAGGGATGGACACTGCTGTGATTGGCCCTTTGGACTGCTGGCCGCCACTTTGGGGTGGCCCTGGACACAGGGAGCCCCCTTCATTAGAAACAGCCCTACTCATTTCCGGCCACTGTGTTTACACCCTGCTTTCCAACACTGGCTAAAATACCCTATTTCTAAATGCCGGGTTTTCCCCTTAAAGAGAAATACATATAGGACCAGGAAGGGTGAAGAGCCAGTCTTCTGATCTGTCCCTTTGGTTAGCACCTCAACGCTTGTTACACCCTCGTGCCCGGCAAGATTGGAAGTGGCTGAGAGGTGTGACTTTCTGACTTAAAAGTGGAAGGGGGATTAAGCAGGTTTATTCTGTTTCTTCTCAAGTTTGGGGATTTTAGGGAGGAGTAGCTGTGGAACTTGGGGATCTGGAAATTGACTGACTGAGAATTATCTCCCCCCGGAAAGTCTTCATCTACCTTCAGAGGTATGTGTACTCCAAAGTGAAGGCTTCTGCGCCGTACTGTGCCAAACAGCTATGAGAGAAATTTCCCTGACTCCTGCGTCATCTTTTCTCCCTGTTCCTCTTCTGTTCCAAGGCGGGGCAGGGACGAGGAAAATATTTTCCCAAAATATTCACCAAAATTTCACCCATCTTCACCTCAAAGTTGAATAACATGTGGATTTCAAATGGGAATTATGGGGATCATAACTGAACAGGGGACACGAAAAACTGAACTAGAACTCCCTCTACACACGCTCAGCCTCTGGTGCTGGGCATTGTCACTGTGAGGGACTCGGAGTCTTACTTTTTCAGAGGTGAGCACAGAGGTCTGGATTTGACAGGAGAAACAACATAAGCTGCTTCTTTTAACATGTACACTCATTTATACGTAATGAGTAAAGTTGATGCCTGACGAAAACATATTTTCCCGAGAAATGTGAAATCTTACCAAGATGGAGAATCTGTTTTCCTCGTTTCTTTGAAAACACGCATGCTTGGCTTCTTGGAATGGGAGACCCCGAAGTCACATTCCTCAAACTCTTCCCAACCGTCTTCAGCCTTGAACACAGCCTGACCCCAACGCCTCCTGGCACCTTTATGGCCCAGAGTGCCATTTGGCTTCTGTGGTGGGAAACCGGTGTCGTCATCTTTAATCGGGTGCTGAATGCCTTTTATGTGCAAGCTATTATATTTGAGGCTAAGAGTCCCCATCCTCAAGGAGCTTTCCATACAGTGAAGGAGATAACATATATACATATTTAAAAGTATTAAGGAAAATAGGTAGCGCATGCTAAAAATATGATAGGAAATTGAGAGAGGACAGATCTCTGTGAACTTGGGTTGGGGGAGACTTGAATATGTAGGATCAGAATTGACTCTTCGTTGATGTGTAATCTGGAAACCTGCCACGTGTGGCTGTGTCTCTGGGCAAATGACGTAACTTTTCAAAGCCTTAGTTTCCTTCTCCTCAAATGGTGACATACAGTATTTATGTAATTTAGTGTTTTCGGATTTGATAGTAAAATACATTGAAAGTTTTTAGGATAGGGCCTGGCACATAAGCGTTACTGTAGGTTAGGTATTATTGCTGTGGTTGTTATTCTAGAGTTTGGAAGAGGAGATGCGTAGAGTACGGCTTTTTAATGGGAAAGAGCCAGAGCGTGTTCCACGGGGAAAGGGCGGAGCGGACTGCGTTTACTGAAGCAGATGTTCGTGCTGGGTGGAGGATAGGGTTGTAAAGACAGGCCGATGCTATATGATGAGGGGCCTTCATTGTACGCCTGGGACATCGCAGCTGTCCTGTGGGCAGTGGAGAACACTGGATGTTTTTGAGATTAAAAAGTGATGTGATAAAGGCAGCATTCGAGAAAGGTCAGGCTCCTCAGATAGGAGGCCTTTGCAGTTAACAGTGGCACGTGGTAACAAGAGCCACGGATTCATAGTGGTTGGAATGCTCATGAAAGAATACATTTGCTGTTAACAAGAAATAAAAGGTCTGGACTTTTTTTCTGTCTCTCCGAACAGAGGTCAAGGAGAGTGTAGCAGACACTGCTTCCTCACTAAGATTTTGTTCAGGGCAGCAATATGCCCACGTAAAAGATCTGAAATGCCAGCCTCCCTTGCAGCTCTGTGTAGCCATGGGACATGACCTAGCCAGTGAGTTGTAAGTGCAAGTCTGTTGGGAGGGGCTTCCACGAGAAACAGTTTAGGCTCTGCCGGCCTGTGCCAGTGTCTTCCACTCTTCCCCCTTCTGGAAGGCAGATGCAACCCCAAAGGAGCAGCAGCCAGCTGTGGCCACAGGACCGAGAGCCGTCTGCTGAGGAGGGTGGTAGAGCAGGAAGACAGAGCAGTCTGGCTCCTTTTATGAGCTGCACCAGCTCTGGCTTACCCACCACCCACCTTCTCGCTATGAGAGGAGAACAACCCCTCGTGGTTTAAGCCACAGTGGTCAGGTTCTGTCATAAGTCACTGAATGTAATCCTGTTGGACACAGAGAAGGAAAGGCAGGGATGGCTTTAAAAATGTGAGCCTGACTGTCTCAGAATGGTAGCTTTGTTAACAAAAATAAGGAATGAGGAAGAAGACCTGGTCTGGGGCAGACCATGGGGTGGTTTGGGGGCATATAAACTGAAAAATCCAAAATGCAATGGGAAATTGGGGAATTTGGAAGCAAGGTCATCAAATACAGCTGTGTTTGAAGTAAGAAGATGCTTAAAGAATGGATATGCCTTTGCTTGAAGCTGATGGTGCCACAGTGATGGATGATGAACAAAAAGTGGTATTTGCCAACTTCTCTTATACTCTTATTTCTTGGTCAGAGAGAATGAGCTCCAGACTAAGGAGAATAAGAAGATCTAAAGCCCCAGGTGAGTAGAGTTAATGAAAAGTCATACTTGGCTGAGTCCGAGACTCTTATTATTTCATTTGAACTGTATGTTAGGGTCCTGCTGAACAATGCCAGTAACATCAAGTCATCTCATGTCTAAGAAGATTGGAAAGGGATAAATATTAATAATGTTTATAAAGTAGAAGGTGGATTTTTGCAAACTCCACATTAATAAGTTTGGTACCAGATGAGGGCAAAGATTCTAACATCAGTTATTAAAGAGAAAGTTTTTGAGCACTAATGAAAAAAGGTGGTAGAAACACAGACCACCATTTTTCATAAAAAGCAGACAGCGAATGCATGTACTCTATATGGTCTTCAGCAAAGGAGGTGACAGGGTCTTCTTTCATGCTATCAAAGAAATGAAGTAATGAAAGGACAACAAAGGAGCATTAGTACTGTCATGGGCTGAATGCTTATGTCCCACCAAAATTTATACCCCAACTCCAATGGATTGGTACCTTTGGGAGGTAACTGGGGATGAGATGAGGTCATGAGGGTGGGACCCTCATGGTGGGATTAGTGCCCTTAGAAGAAGAGAATCCAGGGAGCTGCTTTCTCTCTCTGCCATGTGGACAAAGCAAGAAAAGGTGCTGTCTGCATATCAGGAGGAGGGCCCCACCAGGAATCAAGTTGGCTGACACCTTGATCTTGGATTTCCCAACCTCCAGAAGTGTGGGAAAGTAAATTTTTGTTATTTAAGCCACCCAGTCTATGGTATTTTCTTATGGCAGCCTGAGCAGACTGAGACAAGTACATAGTTCAATAATCTGACCAAGAGTACTGATTAATGGATCAGTATCCATCTAGAAGAAGGTTCTAGTGGCTTGCTATCCCAAGGGCACATTGCTATTCTGTTCATCGTGAAGGTACAGGAGGAAAAAAATGAACAACCATTCCATAGCTGGTGACAAGCTGGGCAGAATGGTTAAACTGAGAAGACAAAATAAGGGTTCAAAAATACTTATTAGAAATGTGAGGGGTAAAAATAAGGTCTTCCAATTTTTGAATCCTAGAGATCAAATACACAATGAGAGGTATAGAATATGTGATTGAACAGAAGCACTTGTACAAAACAGACTTGGGAATTTTAGTTAACAGAACGCTGAATCCCAGCTCCGCAGCTCATTAGCCATCTAAAAATTGTGGGCTAGTTTATTGGGTACTTTAACTTAGTGAATGCATACGAGAGGGCGGGAGGGTGTTGCATAGCGCATGGCACTTAGTAGCTGTTTAGTAATGTTAACTTCCTTTCCTTCCCTCCCAGTGTGAGTCAACATTTTATGGGCCATCCAAGAAAAAAAAAAAAGTAGTCCTTGATGGCACGAGTGAACACAGGTTCTGGAATGTTGGCGGTGATTCACCCTGTTTCATGTTTCCTACCTACTGTCTGCCTCTGGTTCTGGCAGGGGAAGCAGGAGGGTGAGGGGACTCAAAGGCTCCTTCAGACACAGGAACCGAGGGTCACTCAGTCATCGGTGAATGACATCCCTGTGGAGTACGTGAAGGAACTGAGGGTGTTTCTCTTAGAGAAAGGGGCAGATAATGTAAGGGCGATTTTCAAATATCTGAAAGGCTGCCTTTCTGGAAGAGTGATTAACTTTTATTAAAAGCTACAGAAACCAGATTTGAGCTCAGTATGAGGAAGAACTTTCTAGTAGTCAGAATTGCCCCAAAGATAATGTGGACTCCTCAAGACCCTGGAGGCGGTTCAAAAACAGTGTGGACAATTATTCATTCATTCATTCAACAGATATTTGTTGAGAATTTACCATGTGCCAGACACTGTTTTGGGTTCTGGGTCTGTATTGAGAAACGAAACAGATGGACATCTTTTATATCTTCCCCAACGTGTTTAGAATGCCTAGAAACACAATCCTAATGGAACCAAACCATCACATCTAAAGTGTCATTATGGGCTACTTACGGTTGGCATGTTTTTGACGATACTTGGAAATAGTGTTGGTGGCTGTTTCTGTTGATTCTGCTGCTTGGGCGGTTGCTGGACACCCGTGTTCTGTGGCGGCTGGATGGACTGCAGTGGCTGGTGGCTGTTTTTAGGCTGGGGCTGTCCGGCAATCTGGTCACTTACGTCTGGCAGAGGCGTAGGTTCTAGATCAACTACAGGTGGCTTTGACTCTAGTGGTTGCACATGCTTATTTAAAGTCTGTTTCGGTTCCAGATGATGTGAGGAAGGGCCTAATACTTGACCGACTTGAAAATATGGGTGTTTCAATGCCTAAAGAAGCATGGAAATAACAAATGGAAAACGGTTTCACCTAAATTTATTGCATGTAAACTCTTGTCCAGCGCTGGGCTAGGCATATATCACTAGTCTAGGTAAGCTTCAGAGATTTAGAAAGCATCCAGTTTTCCCCTTATGTGATGACTTTAAAAAGATACCCAGAAAAAAAAAATGATTTGAGAAGAAAATTTCATTAAAAAAAATGAAAAAGTACATATTAGTAGAAAGAATGTATAACTCACTTGTAATTTTAACATCCAGTCAAGGCAACTGTTCTTTGAAAGACTCCGTATAGAACACAAAGTCTAGTTTATAAGCAGTGGCTGAATTTGATGGATTAACTCAAACTAAAACACTAGATACTGATAATGTTTTAGACTCCATAAAGGCATTAAGAAATGAGTTAAGAAAGCCTTCTACGTAGTTTATTTTAAATGATTAACTCTAACATCATATAAAATTCAGGGTTATTTTTAGCCTAACTATAAGTACATGTCTACTAGCAATAAAAAAAAATTCTAAGAAATTGAAATAAGCTTTAACAATATAACAGCAAAGAGAAAGTAGTTATGGGAATAAACTGTACAAGTACTAGTAAAAATGGTCACTGAGTTTTCACTAGATCAGTCATCAAATCACTGTTACTGCATGGAAGTGGGGGGTAGGGGACAGAGCTGGTGACCATCTGGGTGACACAGGCTAGAGCAGTGGTTCTCAACTGGGGGTATTTTGCCCCTCCGGAGACGTTTTTCTTATTGTCACAACTCGGGGGCTGGGAGGCGCTCCGGGCATCTAGGCACGCCGTCAGGGATGCTGCTTAATATCCTACGACGAACAGGACAGCCTCCCCACAGCAAAGAATTAGCGGGTCAAAAATGTCAGAAGTACCGAGGTTGGTGAAAACTGCTCTGGAGAGTGTCTGAAGCTCTCTGTGCAGCTCAGCTGTGGATACAGGTCCCCTTATCAGTACTGCATGTCTGGGTGGGGAGGGAAGTTCCCAGTTCTGCTGTTTTGTGTGTGTGTATCGGGGAAGGGGCTGCCCCTTAAGATAATGAAGCCCTGTTCCCCTGCACCTCCTGCCCTAAGCCAGTACCCGCCTACGTGGAGGCGTAGCCCTGACCCACAGTTAACTTCTCAGGCGTGCAGGGGCAGATTTTAGATGGACAGAGGCAACTCCTGTAACTTAACCTCTCCCTGTCTCCCTGCTTCCACTAAAAAGCAGGGCAATGAAATAGTAAACAAGGAAGAGGTGAAGGGCAGGGAGGTGTATATTTTGGCAGAGGTAGAAAAAGTGTTTCTTCTAAGTTTCCCCTTAGAAACTTTGTTGTGTCCCCTACCACACCTGGTGTGTGTGTTAACTACATGGACATTGCTAAGTGGAACTCAACAACTGTAGACGATTTAAATACATCAGTACCTGACACATAGAAGGCACTCAGGTTCTGGATTAAGTAGCCCCATTGATTAGTATGTCACTGTTCCTAAGTCAATAATGTACATGTTGGAGCCAGAAGCCTTATGAATGTTTTGTAATTTCAGGGCTTCATCTGTAACTTTTCCTCTTTAGGATACCAGCTACCATCCTTAAAGAAACAGAGGATCTTTAAAAAACAATAACTTCTTTTTTCCTGTTTGTTAAGGGAATATTGATTGAATAGAATAAGGAATGTATAGAAAGTTCTCAAGAAGAAATTAAAATCATCTCGAAAGCCGACACCAGGAGAAAACTACTGCTCACATTTTGATGTTTCTCTTTTCAGAACTTCTTTCTAGTCTTTCAGATACATACGCGTATATAGAGAGAGATTTTACCTTACACAGACTTGCAGCTTCTGCAACTGTAAGTACCTCGTGCCGGTACCCCACTGTTGTAATTACTATCACTTCACAGATTATTTTAACGTTTGATAGGGCAAGCTGTCTCACCCTACCACTGTGCTCTGATTACTTATTACTGTTCAAACCTGTCTTGGCTATTCTTTCCTATTTGTTCTTCCAGTTGACCTTTAGAAAATATCGTCTCAAATTAAATTTTTTAAAAGCCAAATAATTATTTGGTTTATTTCAATCCTCAATTTATATTTAAATAACAATAAGAATACCATAAAGCCTGTTATGACTTTTTAAGTTAAGCCCTTTGCAGATAAAACCATGGCGTCTTTAAGACCATGAGACAGGATTCATCTGTAGGTGTTGAGGGTATAGTCACAAAGGAGCCAAGCATGGGTATCACACACTGCCCTCTTGTGGGAGCCGGAGAGGGAGCATGACTCCAGTCCTGTGGAGGGATGCTGCTGCCGTGTCGAGGGAACCCGAGTCCTCTACATGGTAGGAGAGCGTCGGAAAGTCTACTAGGTTGTCTAACTGAAGAGATGCTCTTTTATTACCTGTGACAAGTTTCTTCCTAATTAGCTTGTCACGTGCCTGAATTTATTTTTTTTTGACTTTTACTTTCTTCTTTATTCTTTTCAACTATGAAACGAACACAAGCTCGTCATAAACATTTGGAGTCATACACAAAGTACAGACTATCCTGTGCAAATCAGGTCAGCATTCTCCTAATTCTAAATCCAATGCTTTGTTACTTCGTAGTTGTCTTTCTAGCCCATTTCCCACCATTCCCCCATTCCCATTCATCCTCCAGTTCTGCCACTGCCTCAACGTTTAGAGCTCTATCACTTTGCCAGAGAAAGAAGGGAAAGGAAGATGCTAGATGGGAAAAAAGTGTGAGCAAATTCCAACATTTTTAATGCCTAGTGTAAATGTCATTTCCTTTGCAAATTCCTCCTTAAATTTTACCACCATCCTTCCTCTGGGTGGAAGGATCATCCCTATACATCTCTCTGTTAACTGTCTCTAAATTATCAAAGCCCTCTGTCCCCCAAAAAAGTGTGGTAGAAAATTGAGTACTTGCAGAATGTTCCACCAGGCCAGGAAAGGGGTCGTATATTCATATCTGAAATTCCAACCACCTAACATACTACCAGGCACTTAGTTTCTTAGTTTGTGCTCAATAAATATTGAAAGAATAGTGATTTCAAAACTTCCTTGAAAGGTTATTGAAGTGGACATTCATTCTCTGTCCAGAATCCATTGTGCCTTCATAGCCAACCACTTATTTCCTTTGGTGGTGGTGGAGGGATCGTTTTTCTCCTAGTGTACGTCATCTAAGTGGAATAGTAAATCCAAATGCCTCTACCCCCACCTCAAAAGCCAGAGAAATACAGCTTTTTTCCCCCAGACAGTTATCCTCACCGTTCAGTTTTCTAAGGCTCTTGTGGCTTAAACAACAGAAATGTATTTTGTCACCATCCTGGAGGCTAGAAGTCAGAGATCAAAGTGTCGACATGCCTGAATTTTTACCATTAGAGATTAATTCCTTTCAACCTCAGCCTCCACAGAGTTCCTCATTTGAACCACAAAACAGAAAATCATTGGAGTGACTATTTTTGCAATTCTCCCAGGAATCTTACATGCCTAGAAGTTAAATCATAACATACACTGGATGCCTTAAGCTTTAGGGCTTAATTCTCTTGGTAAAACTCTGGTTGAAAATAGACTTGTCTTTGTAAAGAAAAATATCCCCGATATTGTAAAACCTCAAATTAAAAAAACAAACAACCCCCCCCACACACAACTATACCAGGGAGATCTGTCTTACCTGGCTTGCTGTTGGTCGTTTCTTTGGATTCCAACTCAACATTTCAGTCATAAGCTGAATAGCTTCACTACTGGCATTGGGAATAAGAGTTTTTAAGTTTATAGGAACACACTGGGGAAAGCGGAAATTCATAGAGGATGCAAGCTGGTACCCTTCCGGCCAGTCACTCTGTTTAAGGAATATATAAGTGGGGGAGGGGAGGCAATAAGTAATTTGTTTTTAATGATCAATTTAAAACAGAGTAATAATATAAAAATCACTTGTGTGTGAAAATTTTAATGTTGACTCATATGAATAAATGTGAAAATTAAATACCAGACCACATACACAATTCAGTGCTATAAACAGTATAGAAGGAACAGTGAGTTGAGAATTAGGGAAAAAATGAGAAAGCACTTTCATAAATTTCAAAATGTTAAACTCTGGTCTTTTGGATCTCGATGGTGATGATGGTACCCAGGTGGCTCTGAACAAGTAAGGACAAGCGATGTACAAAGACACTGATTATTACAGAGATCCTCATTATATGTTATCCATTGCATCCAATGTCAAAAACTGCACATAGCTGGGAAATGAGTTACGTTAAAGCTTTAATAGCTGCGTTAACCTGACTAATGTTAACTACGAGGCACACGCTCATTTAATTCAGGTGTAATTATACAAACTTACACTTATTAAATAAGTGCATCTCAGAAAGTGAAGTCTAGCTGAGTGCAATAGTTAATTGAAAAGTACTCAGTTCAAGAAATTAAATATCCATGGCAGAGGTATATAAATGTAAACAAGAAAAGGTTAAGAGAAAATAAAACCCAGGACACCTGGCATTAATGCGTTGATCCCAATGGACATTCACAGAACAAGTAGGAAAGAGGCTAAGCATGTAGTCATCGGCTGGTCATCAGACCAAAGTTAAATACATAGAATTCTAAATATAGAGAATTTTCCCTTAAGTTCTTAAAGAAAGGTAAGCCCCTTTTTTCTACAGTCTGGTGGGATTCTGGCTTCTTGCAGCCCTCATCCCATCCCAATACAAAAAAAGACTGATAAGAAAATTAACCCTTAAAGCGTAAGCCTTTTTGAAAATGAAAATATCAGCTAGCTGCCCCAAAGTTACAAATAATCAAAAGTTATAATAACTTAAGGACAAAAGTACTTACTTTTTTGGGAGTCCCTAAAACTTGGCAAATCTTAAAGATTTCATCGACCTCACTTGTCCCTGGGAAAAGTGGTCTTAACGTGTATAGTTCAGCCATTATACTCCCAACAGCCCACATGTCAATGGGAGAGCTATAAACTGAAGATCTTAATAAAACTTCAGGAGCACGATACCTATGAAAATGGAAAACAAAACAAAACAGGCCATTGTGCTTGTAGTTTCAGAGGTGGAATGGCAGTAGGATTTTGTTTGGTCAGGCATTTCAATCGAGAACCAGGTATTAACTGCCTTCTGTGTATCAGGCATCTATCTGCACAATGTGTTGGGTTTATATTGACTAGCACACGTTTTTCCTGACCACAAGCAAGTAGTGGCGCTCAAGACAACTATAAATGAAATGTCCAAGTGGCCTAAGACAGGGACTCCAACAAATAAATGTGGAAATGCTATATAATACGTTAAGAAAAGGCAGAGAAGCTCTGAATGGAAGCAGATACGTTCTGAATGGGAGCAGTCGTATAATTTTACAACGCATTAACTCCTGATATATTCACATGAAGGATCGAAAACAAAAGATTAACAAAGATTATCCCTGAGTAGTGGGCTTTTTCCCATCTTTTTAAAAAAAAATTATTTTACTGAAGTGTAGTTGATTTACAATGTTGTGTTAATTTCTGCCGTACAGCAAAGCGATTCAGTTATACGTATATATACATTCTTTTTTGTAGACTTTTCCATTATGGTTTATCACAGGATATTGCATATAGTTCCCTGTGCTTGTTTATCCATCCTTCTTTTGGCTTATCTGTTTGAAAGCGCTGATTCCTCAATTGACTCAATTTCCTTAATTGATAATATTTTTAATTAGAAAAATACTCTGTTTATAAGGCAAAGGTAGCTGGTGGAGGATATTCTCAATTTTTTTTCCATGTTGAAATGCATAAACGTTTCAGCCTAAATGCTTTGCAGTGTTGTCCTTTGGCTTCCATTCAGAGTAGCTTTCTTGGACAGCTTTGAGATATAATTCACATAACATACAGTACATCCATTTAAAAGCATACAGTTCAGTGGCTTTAAGTATATTCACAAGAGTTGTGCATCCATCATCACAATCAACTTTAGAACGTTTTCATCACCCCCAAAAGAAACCCCACACCTCTCCAATAGCCCTGCACTCCCATTTCTCTAATCTACTATCTATCTATGGATTTGCCTGTTCTGTCACTTCACATCAATGGAACCATACACTGTCCGGTCCTTTGTGACTGGCTTCTTTCACTGAACATGTTTCCAAGGTTTATCCATGTTGTAGCATATATCAGTACTTCTTTTATTTATTGCTGAATAATATTCCATGGTATGGCTAGACCACATTTTGTTTATCCATTCATCAGTTGATGGGCATTTGGGTTTTTCCCACTTTTTGGTTATTATGAGTAATGTTGCTGTGAACATTCGTATACAAGTTTTTGTGTGGACGTATGTTTTCATTTCTCTTGGGTATATACCTAGGTGTGGGGTTTTGCTGGATCACATGGTAACTATATGTTTAACCACTGAGGAGCTGCCAGGCTGTTTTGTACCATTTTCTACTCCCACCAGCAAATGAGGGTTCCAGTTCCTCCACATCCTTGCCAACACTTTTTATTATGTTTTGATATTTTTAGGAGACAAAATTGTTTTGAATGTTTTGCCAAATTTAGATACTGAAAACAAGTATTCTCAATTTCATTCCATTTCAGTATAGAATCTAAATTTACCCAGTTGAAAATAGAAGCTCCTTAAAAAGATTCTTCCCTGCAAGAGGAGATTTTCCAATTCTAATTATACATTTAAAAAAGATAAAACTAGGGCTTCCCTGGTGGCGCAGCGGTTGGGAGTCCGCTTGCCGATGCAGGGGACATGGGTTCGTGCCCCGGTCCGGGAAGATCCCACATGCCGCGGAGCGGCTGGGCCTGTGAGCCATGGCCGCTGGGCCTGCGCGTCCAGAGCCTGTGCTCCGCAACGGGAGAGGCCACAGCAG